GTTACCTGGCAAGTCATGAAATATAGGCAAAGGAAAACTGTATTTTCGTCTGTTTTTTCAAAAACGCATGAATTAGCATGGTCTTAGATTAACCCGTGTTGCTTTTTAACCCTCGTGCTGAAAGGCTTCAACCATACGAAGTCTACCTCTACATTTAAATACAACTCAACGCGGCCCTTCTCTTTCTCTGGGGGTAGTCACAGACAGATAAGGTATAAACAGTTTACCATTCTTTGATGCTGGCATTCACAAATGGCGCATATAAGCTTTTTTAGCCTTAAGCTGGCCTCAGTGTTTTGTTTAACTGGAACCCATACTCGTACTCGGTTCACGCAGCGAATTTCAGAGAAATCAAGACCCTTGTTAGTTACAACAGGTGTCCTTCATCAATTATTTCTTTCTTGTCTGCAGTCCTTCTTTAAATTAACCACCAATTTCACAACGGAACAGAAATTATAGTACCCCGTAATGGAGCTGAACTCTACGGCTGTTCTCTGTTTTACCCACACGACACCCTCCCTAATAACTGGTTCAGTGACTGAACTTCACACCCGTAAATACTTGGCCTAACTCCAATCCTTGCAAACATTCCGCTACTTTACGCTTTGTGCAAAGCGTCTTTTGTGCATACTCGCTAAGCAGAAGCATATTTTGAACGGTGAGTGCTACGCCTTGCTAAGTGTTGGCAAACTCAGTCATTCCCCAGGTCAGTCAACAGTTATCTAAACCTGTTTCAGTTAGACTAGGAACTGACTGCATTCTCCGTTCAGCTTCTTGTACTACCTGACGCCCCTTTTATACTTATTTTTCCGACCTCACTCCATTCACTCATTTCCCTAGCCATCGGGGTTCGATAGTAGCTTCTCCAGGCGTCTCATGTTTTTGTCATGCACTACGCCTGTTCTCCACTTCATATGCAAAAAGACCCTCAAACGAAATTACCTGTGAGTCTACACTGGCTTAACAACCGCTTTTGATCCCCTTGGTTAACTTATATCTCACTGCCCACAAAAATGCTCTTCCCTATCCGCTCGCCGCAAACTTGATGTCCGTTAGGGGGCTGTCATAAAGCAAAGTATATTGACGGCACGGCAATACCACATTGAGAATGGAGGCATACCCATTCGTCAAAGTCTTAACCCTTCTCTCACCCAGATCCTGGCCCAAAATTACGAGCAATTAGTTCACCTGGCCGTAAAAAATTGTGGGGTGATTTTGTCTTAATATTCTGAACCAAAACATTCAATTACCCACCTGGTCATTCCGCTTCAGTTCTACTTTGCCTCGTTTCCATTTCCAGCGGTTTTATTTGCTTTGCTTGCTCTACCATCAGCAATAACACCACTAGCCCACAGGTAAGTTTCACACCTGACTTTTATTCAGTTTGATATCGGTGAATGTAAAAATTTTCAGTGCTCACAATATTCTGAAGCACAACTTGCCATTTGTATCTACCAATAATTCAACCATCTCATCACCTCCAGTTATGCTTTGGAAAGCCACGGCCATCGACTCCACTGCTGAAGGTAATTTTTAGTCAGCAGAAGTTTCTAGTTCTAGTTCAAATCGACCAGTTTTCTCGCCCANACTTATTTTTCCGACCTCACTCCATTCACGCATTTCCCTAGCCATCGGGTTTCGGCAGTGGCTTCTTTGGGCGTCTCATGCGTTTGTCATGCACTTCGCCTGTTCTCCACTTCATATACACAAAGACCCTCAAATGAAACGAAATTACCTGTGAGTCTACAAATTATCTGTGAGTCTACACTGGCTTAACCGCCGCTTTTGATCCCCTTGGTTAACTTATATCTCACTGCCCACAAAAATGCTCTTCCCTATCCGCTCGCCGCAAAATTGATGTCCGTTAGGGGGCTGTCATAAAGCAAAGTATATTGACGGCACGGCAATACCACATTGAGAATGGAGGCATACCCATTCGTCAAAGTCTTAACCCTTCTCTCACCCAGATCCTGGCCCAAAATTACGAGCAATTAGTTCACCTGGCCGTAAAAAATTGTGGGGTGATTTTGTCTTAATATTCTGAACCAAAACATTCAATTACCCACCTGGTCATTCCGCTTCAGTTCTACTTTGCCTCGTTTCCATTTCCAGCGGTTTTATTTGCTTTGCTTGCTCTACCATCAGCAATAACACCACTAGCCCACAGGTGTGTTTCACACCTGACTTCCATTCAGTTTGATATCGGTGAATATAAAAATTTTCAGTGCTCACAATACTCTGAGGCACAACTTGCCATTTGCATCTACCAATGATTTAACCATCTCATCGCCTCCAGTTATGCTTTGGAAAGCCACGGTCATCGAATCCACTGTTGAAGGTTAATTTTAATCAGCAGAATTTTCTAGTTCTAGTTCAAATCGACCAGTTTTCTCGCCCAAATGTTCGTTCTTCCTCCTATTGCATTGTTTTTCCCCCACGCTTTACAATTACTTGCCGCGTGACAAGCTTGCCTCTTGATTTTGAGTTCTCTTCCCTCGTGATGCCCACAACCACTTCTAGATTATATTGATCATGCTTCAATTGTCACGCTCCACGCAAGTTCGGTAACAAAATCTTCATTTCTCATAATCATTATCGTCCTGGTCTAATAATACTACGAAACCGATCTACAACTGTTGAACTGAGTGAAATGTAGATCCTTTACATGTTAAAAGGTTGTTTCCTCCCCCGGCCACTTATTTCTGTGGTAGTAAACCGTCAAACATTGTTGCTTCTGACGAAGTGGCTGGTATTGCGGCTGCCTTTCAGCTCATCCGCGCTTACCTAGCTAGAAAGTGGCAAACGTTTGCCAGACAAGGCGATATAATTGTGTTGGTGAGGTAGTAAGTAATGACCTACTCCACTTAAGTTGAAACGAACCATGAATTTGTTGCTAACATAGTTTGGACCGAACGGCGGCCTACTGAGCATGCCGTACGCCACGTTGTGGCTGTAACGTATCAACTCAAGAAAACTAACAAAGCCTGCAAAACTTTTCTCCGCATGAGCAGAGAACATGAATGTCCGGCCTCCTGAAGGCGCTCGAACTAGAACAAACGGGATAAAACTTGTGAAGCAGGAGTGCCGTGGCGGCACAAACACATGAACTAACTGAAAATGCCGATCTTCCATTATGCAGATTACCAAGTTCAGTGCAATGAATCCGAAGTTCACAGGCAACTGAGTTGCAAAATTAAAGTAGCCGGCAGAAGATGCGACACGAAGGTGACAATTTGATAACAAATGCTTTGATTGGAACCAGGAAATTGAGATGACAGTTTCGGTGGAGAGAGCCGTTGCACCAAAAACTCTTCTTTTTCTGAGTAGGGGTTCCACTGGGAGTTCTCGGGCTTGACAGCTGTGCTTATTCGACATTTCCTCGGTGAACTAAGGCAAGCTAATTACCCTGACTCGCACTTTTGTCTCACCCGAAACACTGCAATCTTACCTGAACACTCAGCCAATGTGCCGATCGGATAAACTGGGAGATTTCTCGCAGGTGACATTAAATTCGAAGACCTTTAAACTGATTCAAAACGGATAAAATATTTTTACTTTTTTACTTTTTACTTTTTTTACTTTTTTGTTTAGCAGTCACTTCCTGATCGTCTCATTTTCGATTCTTCTATTCTATTATTATGCTATACGATAAATTCTGCCTTTTGTCATTTCACTTTTGCGCCCATACCAATCCAATCCCGAAGGTTTTCACGGCTAACAACTGCAACAGGACTGCAGTGTTACGACCTACACTGCCAACCACATGCCTAAGCTTGCAGATCGTCGGACCCTTTGCAAGAATCAAGGCCTGGTAACCGAATTTTACACGTTGCTGCACATCAGCTTTCTGGCCTCTTATGGGGAGGGTTCAGTAACCTGGGTGATCAGGTATCATCGCTGAAAGATAACGGATAGAATGAAAAGGAACGGAAACAAAGGTTCAAGGAAAATGTATCAAAAATTCAAAAATATGTATTGCAATCAACCCGCTCCAGTCTAATGGAGTCAGGTGCAGCGTAAAAAGCCTGGTTGCTCGGTTTTTTGAAGACGTCAGAAACAGTGACTAAACATGTGCTTAAGCATCTAATGAATCCACTCGGTTTCTACCGATTAGCCCGTTCAAGTGCAAAGCAAAACTTACAGCCATCACTTCACAAAGAAGTGAGAACTAAAACCTGCCATAGCCCTTGTTCGAGGAACTTCACCAGACTACAGGCTCGAAAACAACGACAGTTACCGAGTGACTGTACATTGTAGAATTATTGCTCTAGTGCGACAGAGGAACACAGGAAGAACATTACCTTACTGAGTGTGCTAATGAAAAAAACTACAAACAGTTCATTATGGGGAGGCATTGCGCACTTATATTGCACCAATGGATGGGGATAGCTGCTTACAACTGTTGACAATTTGTTAACCACAAAATTGTCCAGCACAGGGGAATTAACGAAATGGTTGTACGATTGTAAAACCGAGGAACAAAATGGGACACACGTTATTGTGCAACCGGCCATGTCCGGATATACCACCCCTGTTACAACGCATGAACAATCGTCATCGAATACAACATTATTGGTTGGACTGGTAGGGGGATACACTTTGCCAAAGTAAATGAAACGCTTTTTATTTAGTGACTCGTTTCAAGGGAAATCTGACTTCTCCATCAGCATTCTTACCTTGGATGACTGAGGTATTGTCCTGACTCGTGCAGGTGTGTAAAAATCTGCCTAACAGTGCAGATGGAACATTTTACCGTATGCTTAATCGTGAACATGTAAGACTCAAAAGGGAAAACTGAGAAGTTATACAGAGTGTCATGAGGCGAGGCGTCGTCCTACAAGTACCGCAAACAGTAGAAATTGTATGCCATTCCCTGCAACCCATACAGCTTTTGGAACTGCTTAGCAAATCTAACATTAACTATCGTGCAAATCATGTGGATAAACACAACAGTGACAATGGGAAATCAAATACACAGATGGAAACAAACTGCAGTATTTTGATAAAGTCCATGGAGGATGCCCTCAAGCACAACGAACCAATCTAAAACAACAGTTGGTTAATCCTGTAGTTGTTTATTGCGATTTCCTGGCAAGTACGCGAAATATCAACATGCATATGGGCACGTAAATTCATATCATGCGATATACCCTGTTCAAGCCGGCAGTCCAAACACGGCAAAGTCCGTTCACTATACCCAGGTCGATGTATTCCACCGCGAGGTCTTCTCTAAGTGAACATGATGGGGGTGTTCTCATCAGTGTCTGCGCGTCTCGAGTTAGCCTCGAAAGCTTATGCCGCAGTGATATAAGATTTACGACACTGTAGGGAGTATTGGTTGAATTCATCCAGTCTCGATAAGTGTCCGCCAACCTGGGCTGAAAAATATTTCGCCCTTCGACGGATTTTCAGCAACCTCATGAGTAGCACATTACGAGTATATTCCGATCTTCATTTATCGCCTTACTTTTTGTGCACCTACTCGGTACATTAATTGTTTGAAATCACACTGTGTGTCGGTGGATCAGTCACGTGTGTTGCACGACCAAAGTCACGTGTTTTCACCGAATTGGGTGGTTGTTTCAGGGTTGGCTGTCTAGCACTCTACCCTGCAGTTAAGTGGCCACCCAGAAATAAGCAAACTTCTTTTGGAAGGTCATAGTAGTCACATGTATATCAGCAGCCTTGACTTCCTTTTCCTTCTGATGGAGGTTCGCGGAAACGCAGACAGCAGGACGTGGGTCTGCGGCTAATCAGGAAATGCGCTTGGCGGCTATAGCCATTTGCTGAAACAACGATGCAGGTAATCAAAAAATATCCGCTTGGATTTCTGAAGATCATTTGGGGTAATGCATTTTCATGACGACATTTTTTGCAAGAAATAGTAACGCGAACGGCAACAACACTTCCTTATAACTGGTTGAGAGCTACACCATTAAATAGCCGTTAAATGACCAACTTTGCCCGCCGTACAACCGACTCATAACCAAGTTTTACCGCTAGGAATAGGTCTTGAATCAAGCTTCGCGGATCACTCCTGCTGCCTCTTGGGTTGACTTGAAACCGGCTGTCATCTCAATTCTTTCGCCATTATTAGGCCTTTCAATCCACCCTTAGTCAATTTTAACGCTAGTTGAAACATTTTCACAATGATATTTGCTCAGGGTTTTGCACCATATATATGTTTATACTGAATGATTTATTTACATATGCCGCGTTTATCCAAACTCCTTCAGGCCATCACTTATGTGGCGAGGTCCGTATCTTCTCTTCAGTTCCGATCGTAGTATCTGAACGTCTTTGACGTCCTACCTGCGTGCACACCCGTTTTTACCGTGTCTACTACATGCAGCCCTGCTTGCACGCGCGCTCAGCACATCCAAGGAGTCACGTGCGTCAAGGTCACCTGGTGTAAATATATTTTGCGTTGATTCGTCCGGCAAGAACCATAAGCTTTCAGTGAAGCATACCTTTGCAAACTGGACAAAACAGTACGACTGGACAAACTATCACACATCCGGCTGAAGGGCACATCTGAGTGGATTTCGAGGCTATATGTGACTTGGAAGCCGAAGAATTATTGAGTAGGAAAGATTTAGGCTTCCGTGAAAAGTCCCAGTGTACGCGTATAAGCCCGGTGCATGCCGGAATTGAACCCAGCCAATAATAATAAAATGGCATGATCATTTCAGAAAAAAGCCAATATTTGGAATGGACAGTATAGACCAAAACGGGCAACCCGCATTTATTCACGGTAGAGGTATGGACGGTAAACTTAAAAAACCTGC